CTAACAGCGAGTGAGAGGACATCCATGCAGAACTTAAATACCAATTCAGTGTCTTTGAGTCCCATCACATACTGAATATTATATAACCTCAGGAGTTGTAGGGCAGCATCCTTTTTGTAGCGAAATACAAGTATGTCCACACTACATGGGACAGACACAGGCTATAGAAAGACCCATGATTATAGACTATATAAAGACTCTTGACAGTTCAGACCAGGTATTTGTTGCTAAATGAGTTGGCACTAACTTTATGAAAGCCATTCATTTTGAAAGATTTTTGGACTTCTGAATTATAGATAAGGGTTTATAGCCTTATACAGATACATATCTACATACATATGATTGGATAAAAGTTGGAAAATATAGAAAATCACCAAAAAATACTCACAACTTTACCATTCAGAAATAACTATCAACATTTGGTATATTTACATATATAAAAATTACACACATATATAAAACAAACATACACAAACATATGCATGTATGTTTGCTTATTCCCTCATCTAGAGAAACAGGATTATATCCACATTGTTTTTTTACTTACATACATAAAATTAACATTTCTCTATGACATTAAATATTCTATAGCTTGTTTTGAGTTTTATTATATTATTATTCCATAATTTATCAAACATTTAGTTTGATTACAATTCTTTATATTATAAATAACAATGTAATCAACTACTTAACCATGTATCTTTTGGTGTGTCTCTTATTTCTTTCTTAGGATAAATTACTAGATGTAGAATTACTGGATCAAAAGGTACAGCTCTGGTTGGGCGAGGCAAGGGCATTATATGTAACCAAAATGTTTGTACCCCCATAATATTCTGAAAAAAAAGAAAGAAAAAAAAAAGTACATGAGGTTTTTTTAAGGTTTTTTTTTCCTACTTGTTTGTTAGTTGTAGACAGGGTCTCACTCTGTTGCCCCAAGTTGGAGTGCAATGGAATCATCATAGCTCACTGTAGCCACAAACTCCTGGGATCAAGCAATCCTCCTACCTCAGCCTTCCAAGTATCTGGGACTTACAGGTGCACACCACCATCCCCAGCTAATTTTTAACGTTTTTTTGTAGAAATGAGGTCTTGCTATGTTGCCCAGGCTGGTGTCAAGTTCCTCGCCTCAAGCAATCCTCCCACCTTGACCTCCCAAAGTGCTAGGTTTATAGGCATGAACCACCACATCCAGCCTTAAAAATTTTTTTGTCAAAAAGTTTACAAAAGAAACGTTTTTATTGATAGGTAGGTTGTTACTCGGTTCCTTCTCCCCTCTCCTGCCTTCTTGATTTCCTATTACCTTTACATCTCTTTGTGCCAGTGTGTGCCCATCATTTAGCTTCCATTTATTAGTGACAACAGGTAGTGTTTGTTTTACCACTCCTGAGATACTTCACTTAGAATAATGTTCCCCAGTTTCATCCATGTTGCTGTAAATGACATTATTTCATTCCTTTTTATGGCTGAGTAGTACTCCACGGTATATATATCACACTTTTTAAACCACTTATGAACTGATGGATACTTAGGTTGATTCCAGGTCTTTGTAATTATGAATTGTGCTGCAATAAACATTTGAATGCCAGTGTCTTTTTGATAAAAAATGACTTATTTTCCTTTGGGTAGATACCTACTAGTGAGATTGCTGGGTTGAATGGTAAATCCACATTTATCTCTTTGAGGAATCCCCATACTGTTTTCTATAGAGGTTGTACTAATTCACAGTCCCACCAACATTATATAAGCATTCCTTTCTCTCTGCATCCATGTCAGCATCTATTGTTTTTTGATTTTTTAATAATGGCTATTCTGACAGGGATAAAGTGATATCTCATTGTGGTTTTAATTTGCATTTCCCAGATAATTAGTGATCATGAGCAGTTCTTCATATATTCGTTGGCCATTGTCTTTCTTCTTTTTAAAAGCTGCCGTATATGTCTTTTGCTCACTTTTTAATGGGATTGTTTGGTTTTTCCTGGCTGAATTGTTTGCGTTCTTTGTAGATTCTGGATATCAGCCCTTTATTGGATGTACAATTTGTGACTATTTTCCCCCATTCTGTTGGTTGTCTATTTACTTTGTTGGCTATTTCCTTTGCTGCACAAAAGCGTTTTATTTTAATCAAGTCCCACTTGTTTATTTTTGTTGTTTGTATTTGCCTTTGCAGTCTTACTTATAATTTCTTTGTCTAGAAGAGTTGGTGCTGCTGTCTAGAAGACTGCTGTCTAGAAGAGTTTTTCCTACATTTTCTTCTAGAATTTTAATGGTTTCATGCCTTACATTTAAGTCTTTTATCCATCTTGAATTAATTTGTATATGTAGTGAGACATAGTGGTCCTGTTTCATACTTCTGAATGTGGCTATCCTGTTTTCCCAGCACCATTTATCAAACAGGGCTTCCTTTCCCAGTGTATTTTGTTGTCTGCTTTGTTGAAGATCAGATGGTTGTAGATAGATAGTTTTATATCTAGGTTCTTTATTCTGTTCCATTGGTCTATGTCTCTACTTTTATATCTGTACCATGTTGTTTTGGTTATTATATCCTTGTAGTATAATTTAAAGTCTGATAATGTGATGTCTCCATATTTGCTCCTTTTGCTTAAAATTGCTTTGGTTAGTCATGCTCTTTTATGGTTTCAAATGAAGTGTAGAATTATTTTTTCTAGATCTGTGAAATATGATGTTGGTATTTTGATGTGGACTGTGTGGAATCTGTAAATCACTTAGGGTAGTATAGACATTTTAATAATGTTGATTCTACCAAGCTGTGAGCATGAGATATTTTACCATTTGTTTGTGTATTGCTGATTTCTTTCATCAGTATTCTGTAGTTCTCTTTGTAGAGATATTTCACCTCCTTGGTTAAGTATATTCCTAAGTGTTTTATTTTCTTTGTAGCTTTGTGAATGGTATTGAATCTTGGATTTGACTCTCAGCTTGACTGTTATTAGTATATAGAAATGCTACTCATTTGTGTACATTGATTTTGTAACCTGAGAATTTAATTAACGGAATTAATTAAATTAATTAATTAAATTAATTAAATTCCTTTGCGGAATTTAATTAACAATTCTAGGAGTCTTTTGGTGGAATCTTTGGGATTTTTCTAGATACAAGATCATTTCATCAGTGAAATGCAATAGTTTGACCTCTTCTTTCCTGATTTAGATACCCTTTATCTATTTCTCTTGCCTGATTGCTCTGGCTAGGACTTCCAGTAGTATGTGGAATAGAAATGGTGACATTGGGTAGCCTTGTCTTGTTCCAGTTCTTAGGGGGAAGGCTTTGAACTTTTCCCCTGTGTTGGCTGCGTTTTTGGCATACATGGCTTTTATAATTTTGAGGTATGTTCCTTCTATGCCTAGATTTTGCAGGTTTTTATCATGAAAGCATTTTATCAAATGCTTTTTCTGCATCTATTGAGATAGTTATATGGTCTCTGGTTTTGCTTCTGTTTATGCGGTTAATCACAATTTTTGCACATGTTGAACCATCCTTGCATTCCTGGGATGAAACCCATTTGATCATGGTGAATTATCTTTTTGATATGGTATTGAATTCAGTTTGCTAGTTGTTGTTTTTTTTGTTTTTGTTTTTTTTTTTTGAGGATTTTTGCACATGTGTTCATAAGGGATATTAGTCTGTAGTTTTCTTTTTTTATTGGGTCTTTTCCTGGCTTTGGTATCAAGGTGATGTTGGCTTCATAGAATAAGTTAGGGAGAATTCCTCCTTCTCAGTGTTATGGAATAATTTCTGTATGATAGGTACCAGTTCTTCTTTGCAAATCTGGTAGAATTCAGCTGTGAATCTATCTGGTCCAGGGCTTTTTAAATCACTGCTTTAATCTCGCTGCTTCTCATTGGTCTGTTCAGGATTTCTATTTCTCCCTGATTGAGTCTTGAGAGGTTATATATTTCTAGGATATCATCCATTTCCTCTACGATTTTTAGTTTGTGTGCATAGAGATTTTCATAGGTTTTGTTTTTTAGTTGTTTAGGTTTTGTGAGATTTTTTTTTTTTTTTTTTTTATCAAGTATGTTTAGTCCAGGAGCAGTGCTAATGTCTGTAACCCTGGACCACTTGAGGCCAGGAGTTCAAGATCAACCTGGGCAACATAGCAAAACCTCATCTCTACCCCCACAAAATTAGCTAGGTGTGATGACATGCACCTGTAGTCCCAGCTACTTAGGAGGCTAAGGTGGGAGGACCGCATAAGCCTGGGAATGTAAGGCTGCAGTGAGCTATGGTCACAGCACTGCACTCTAGCCTGGGTAACAGAGAGATCCTTTAAAAATGTTTAATAAAAGGGGCTGTGGTCTGAAAACAAATGCTTACTCTAAATATATGGGAATTCTCCAAAACAATGATAATGAGTAAAATCAATAATAAGTAGGGTCATTTGCATGCATGAAAAACATTTACCAATTTCTTTTGTAAACCTTATGACAAAAAATTTTAAGGCCAGATGCAGTGGCTTACCTCTGTAATCTTAGCACATTGGGAGGCTAAGGCAGGAGGATTGCTTGAGCCCAGGAGCAGAATGAAACAAAATAGAAAGCAAAGGAAAAAAGGATGAATGAAACAAAAAGTTGGTTCTTTGAAAAGATAAATAAAATTGATACACCTCTAGCTAGATTAACCAGAAATAGAAGAGGAAGAACTCAAATTAGCTCAATCAGAAATGAAAAAGGAAATATTACAACTGATGCCACAGAAATACAAAATATCATCCAAAGCGCACTGAGAGTACAGCATCACTTCTGTGGAGCTCCTGCCAAAAATGTATGATTTGAATCTCATCACAAGAAAACATGCAGCAAACTCAAATGGAGGAACATCTTACAATATAACTGTCATATAACCCTCAAAAGTGCCATGGCCTTGAAAGTCAAGGACAGACGGAGGAAATGCTCCAGGTTAAAGAGGACTGAGGAGACATGACAACTAGACGCAACATGGAGTCCTAGATGTTATTGAGACAATTAGCAAAACCGGAATGGGTGTGGGGATTAGATGATAGTAACATATATGGGTTAATGTCCTGATTTAATATTGTATTGTATGTCAGAGAAAGTCTTTTGTAGGAAATATACATTAAAATATTGGCGCTATTCTTGGAACTGAACCCACCAATTTTGACTCAATTGCCTCTTGGTTCTGGTCTGCAGGTCTCTGGTCTCCTGAAGGAGGCTGATCCTTCCATTTGCTATGGGAGGTCCTCGGAGGGGCGCTGGGAGAAAAATCTGTGTTCTCCAGGCGTAGATGCCTGAAGGGATATTTGAAGAACAATATGAGAGTGGGAAGTTAAGCAAATGAACTTTTCTCTAGTCCCGGGACTTCCCCTGTTCTTGCTGGAGTGTTGAAACCAGGAAACTTATTAACCATATTTGTATCATATCAACATAGGCAGTAATGCTAATATCTTCTGGGCAGGCCAGATTGAGTTAGTCATGGGAATTCCCCCATTGCCATAGACACTATCCCCAGGAGGACTTGGCCATGGGTTAGAAAATTATAAAAGCTGTGGTTTACATGGCTAAATACTCAATGATTAGATCCTTGCCTCTCAAGTTTTGTATTTATAAATTCCTTCATAATATTAAAAAAACTAACCTAGCATCAAATACAGTAAGCTGGAATCCATTGAGACTTGACAACCTCTCTGTGGGCGAGGCAGGCAAAACAGGCTTCTGTGTCTCCTCTCACACTTCCTCAGGGCAGTTGCCCTGCACCCAGGCGCTATCCTTACTCAGATTCTCTGGGGACCCATTGCTGCTACTAGTGCTCCTGTCACAGGTGAGTGGGTGGTGACTTCATTCTTGAGATTCCACCCCTTTCCTCAGGTTTCTGACTGGTTGGTTCCAGGCCATTTGAACTGGTCCCTAAACTGGGTGGCCAATCCCTAGGCTGGTTGTCTCCCAAGTCATCTACAGAAAATGACCGTCCCTTGTCCTCTGCACCTGCCTCTCCCCACCCCAGACACTGCCCCCCATGCTGCCCCAGTCACCTTCCTTACCTCTCCTCTAGGAAGAGTGAGGAAATTCTGGACCTAAAACATGTCTTAGGTTCCACCACATCTAAAGTGCACTCTGGTCAGCCCAGGCAGACTGACAGTGGCATAGCACAGCCCTTTAGAGACTCATTGGATTTGTCAACTGGATGGGACTTGGAGGATCCTTTCAGTGCTACATCCAGGTTCTGTAAGGGACCTGTTATTTCATGACAGAGCTGAGACTAGAACTCCCAGAGCAGTGCTCATCCCACCATGTCGCACCATCCTCTCCCAGTGTCACTACCCCTCCTGGGGCGCCTCTGCCATTGCTTATCCTATACAGAGATAAAATTGTTTTCAGTCCCAACTTTAAAGGGCTTACTCTAGGCTTTGTGAAATACAGTAAATGCCAACTTGGCAATTAGCATGTCAAAATTCCCTCCTAATGAGTAAAAGGGGATGGTGGTGGGGCGGACGGGAGGAGGGCACAGTGCCTGCATCAACGCGAGGTGACCCAGAGCCAAGAGAGATGAATTGGGGAATTGTGCCTCTCCCTGGCTATAAATTCTTGTCTCTCTCCCTCCTCCTCAGCCCCATCTCCCTATAAAAAGTTATTTGGGATAATTGCTGGAGAATAGCCCGTCTGTACCTGGGGAAAGAAACTTTTCATGACATAATGATTTTGGAAACAGTCCCGCTAAGCCGGTGCCCTGTGGCTGTTTTCTCCATTAAGGTATTTCACAATCCATGATCTCCTCTTGGGGACAGAGAAACTCAGTCATGGAGACTAAGGTGGGAGATGGATGAGAACTGACCTGTTCCCATCAGCACCTGGGTGTTTGTTCTCCCTTAAGCCAGTCCCTGGGTTGGCCCTGCTGCTGTGAGCATTCCTGGGCGCTGAGCAAGTCTGCTCTGGGTGGAATATGAGAAAAACGACTTACGGAAGACAGGACCGTAATAGGTTGGATAAATAATAGTTTAGCAGTAGGTGCAGCACCAACCACTAACAAAGGAGTGGCCAAAATGAAATGCACGGAGCAGGACTATTCCTATTGCAGTTTGGCTGTCTCTGTGGTTTTGAGCAAGAAGAAAATATGCAAGATATGACCAAGCTGTATTCCCTGTGTGTGGCGGCCTAAGGGGTGTGTGACTGAAGTGTTCTGGGCTAGGCGTTCCGGATGGGAGTCTGAGATGCCTCCCTTGGTTGACTCAGACAGATGGGCAGGGAGGCCATGAGTGGCCCCGGGAAGCAAGGAGAGTGGTCAGTCTGCAAAGGGCAAGACGCAAGAATCTGCCTTCCTAGAATAATAGGAGGAGGTCTGTGCCTTCCCAGAGTAGTAACAATGGTTCATTATGTTTCATCAGCACCTTATAGCTGACAATGCACTTTGCACATTGCCTCATTCACAGAAACCCTGTGATGTAGGCGGGGTAGGTGCTACGATCTCCACTTTACAGATGAGGAAGCGAAGGTTCACAGAAGTTAAGTGGTCTGTCTAAAGCCATGTGGCAAACAAGTGGCAGAGCTGAGGCTGGAACTCAAACATCTTGACGCCACCTTCAGTGGGACTGCCAAATGCCCAGAGAATGTGCTGGCACTTGAGGTGTGTCACACGCTTGCGTGTCTACGGACCTGTGCCTCCACTGCCCCGCCTGGGAGCAGGGGCCTCATTCTTTTATTTATTTATTTGTTTTTATTTTTTTTAACTCATGAAGTAAACAGCAAGACTCATTCTTTTAGGTTAAGGCATTGTCTCCAGCAAAAACCCAATTAGAAGCAAAATGTAGGTAGAAGAGATTGGGAATGGCACGTGTCTCTGGCCCTCGGTCTCTTGAATCTGCCTTCTATTCTTTCTGAAAGACGCACAGGAGAGTCCCGTGCGGCGCCCTCTTCTGTGGCTGACCCGCAGTGCTTGTGTGCTGGCTCACGGGCACGCCTCCGCGCTCTCAGCTCCGATCCAGCACTTGCCTTTGCCTTCCTTGCCATGCTCCTCTTCGTGCTGAGTGTGCTGTGAGCCACAAAAACCGTCTCCAGTCCTGTCTTTGAATATCTGAAGCTCTTAGTGAAGTTCTTGACAAACAGTGATGGTCGACAAATAACTGTGGATGCAAATCTGGGTAGCATTTGTTGGAAAGGGGGCTAGTCCTTTTGATGCAGCCAATTAGACTTTAGTAGCCTTAGGATGGGGACTTCTTTGGGGATGAGCAAAGGTTTTAGGCAGCAGAGCTGAATTCTGTAATGATGCAGAATGATTGTATGAAGACTGCAAGGCCATGTGGAAATTTTAAATTGTTCACTCCACTTTTCCTCCATGTGAAACACATGATTCCATGCTTAGCCAGGAGCCCGCCTGCCGTTTAGGGGCTGCCCAACTCATAACGAGAACCGTAGTTGATGGGAAGGAATTTAGATAGGACGTGGCCAGTGATGTTTAAAAGCGAGATGCCATAATGATGTCAGGTTGTTTTCTCTTCTTTCTCTTCCTTTTCTCTTGAGAATGAAGGCTTTTTCATCCAAATGCTATGGACCGTCTCTACCTTCTCCTATTGCTAGTGACTCCCAATCCTAACTTATAACCCATGGGCTGACTGGACAGGAACTAAGAGGGAGACTGTTACGCATACAGCTTCCCAGGCCCACCCTGGAGTTCTGACGTGGCGGTTCTGGGGTGGCACCCAGGACACAGGTGATTCGAATGCTCACCCAGGCTTGGGAGCCACAGGCCTACAGCTGCGACTGCAAGCAGCGCTCGGGACCCAGCACACAGCCACAGCCACGGGGGCCGGGTGAGCTTCTGGAGGCTGGTGCTGGGGCGAGAAGAGATGTTAGTGGTGGTCTCTCTATCTTCTCTTCTCCGATGAGCAGGAAGGAACTGTGGGGAGAGACAGCCCAGCATCTCTTAGGGTACACAGGGCAAGTTTCCCTGCACCTGGACTTCCCATACCCCTGGAACAAACAAGAGTCCCCAAAGAAGCAGAATTCTCCCACAAAGCCACACTCTCCTAAGCATGACTGTGCATTGGCACCTCCGACTCCAACCCAACACCACGAGGTTTATTCTAATTTTCTGCCTTTTTACATTTTTAACTTCCTTTATTGGCACACATTACCTTTAATGTATTTGCTTCTTGGATCGCATTAACCACTCCCCGGCAGCGCCACCGCCGCCCTCCCCCACCCACAGATGCCCTCTGCACCACCCACATGCTGGGCTGGTTTGTCGCTCAGGCCTGAAACCTCCTCTCTGTCTGGGCTCCCGTCCAGTGCGGCCTGCGTGGATGCTCCTTGCTCAGCCCGGGCTCCAACCTCTCACGGGCGGCCTCCCTGGGGTGCCCTCCTTCTTGGGATCTGACGCTCCGCTCTGGGCCATTGCACCTCCACCCCTGACATGGAAGCCCATCCTGCTCAGCCCCACTAATGGACTGAGGACTCTACGGTTCAGGAAGAGAAAAGGAAAAGAAGGGAAAGGGAGAAGGAAAGGAAGACAGTGACCATAAAATATTGAGGTCAGGCATGCTGCCTCACCTTCAGTGGATCCTGTGACTGGGAGGGTCGTTCCCCTGGTCTCTTCCCTAGAGCAGCAGCCTACGTGCGGATAGTGCACAGAGGTAGCAGAGTACAGTAAATTTCGAGCACAGGCTCTGCAATCACTTAGAATCTGGCTTTGACACATTTAGTTGTGTGACCCTCTCAGTGCTTTAGTTATCTTGTCTACACAATGAGAATGATAATTGCATCAACCCCACAGAATTCTCTGAGGATTAAATTAGGTAACCCGCATGGAGTGCTTAGCAGAGATGCCAGCAGGAATCGGTCCCCAATAAAAGTGCTGTTACTAAGGAGTCCCCTGGTAAGTAGTCAGGAGCCAGGGTCCACGGGGCTGGGATGGAGCTGCATGACATGGCTGCTCAGCCCACGTCAGTGGCACCAGCTCTTTGGACTTGTTTTCCTATCTGTAAAGTGAGGGGCTGGCTGGCCATTAAGGGACTGTCCTCGCTCTGACACTGTAGTGTTCTACCACCAAACGGCCTTAAGAAGCTAGAGGGAGGCTGCGAGTCTGGGCATTGGAATTCAGGATGCTTCCAAGGTGGGCCCAGGATGGAGCCCTGAAGATGGTTCCAGAGCAAGAAGACCACACAGGTGGGGAACCAGTAATCCTCATATTGACTTAGCGCTCCACAGTTTGCAATCATCGTCTATGCACGTCGTCTCGTGTAATCCCTACAACAGCCTTAGGAGGGAGGCATTTTTTCAGATGAGATCCTGAGGCTGG